TTGTTTTTTTTTTGTGGTGCTGGGGATTGAACCCAGGGTCTTGTGTATGGAAGGTAAGAGCTCTACCACTAAGTGACACCCTCAGTTCCCAGGTAATATATTGTTGAATCTTTTCTTTCAGTTGGCAAATTTAACTCATTTACATTTATCGTAAAAGCATTTATTGTAATTTTGTTATAATTACTGTATTGCAATTGTAAGTTACTGATACTGGGACTTGTGTCATCTTGAGTAAGAGAAGCTTAACTAAATTGGCTCAGTAATTCCCTAGCAATTCCCAGCAATTTGGCTTGTTGCTTGGATGGTAAAAAGGGGGAAATGAAGAAGGAGGGATCTGCTTCTGTTTCTTCAGAGGAATTCCAGTCTTCGCATTCACCTTGGACATCATCTCCTGGCTTCCAGCGCAGACCCTTCAGCCTTCCATTGAAGACCCATGACCTGATAGAGACTGACACAGACATTGTACTGAGCTCCAAACTTTGACTGAATCCTTCTGTCTCCAGTGTGGAGACACACCCTCTTCATGCTTTCTTATCTGACTCTGTGAGTGACCATGGTAAGCCAATCTTGTGGTTTCTTACACATTGGTAAATTCTTATGTATTTTATATCTTTTGCTATATGTTTCTCTAGTAAACACTGGCTGATACAGGCTTGTTACTTATTGGTGACTGGGAGCATTATTTTGTCATTTTACAGTACTTCATATTTTCCATGCATTACTATGCGTTCTTTACACTTATTTTTTATTTTTTTCTGTTTCCATGGAACAGATACTTCTGCTGGTTTTAAACATGATGTATTTCTGTCTGGCTCTTGCTGTGATCATCTGTGATCCTCATACCTGCTTCTTTGCCCAGTGTGATTTTTCCCTTTTCTTTTTTTCCTTCTGTCTTTTTGAGACAGAGTCTCACTATGCAGTTCAGACTGGCCTTGAACTTACTTTGTAGCCTAGGCTGGCCTCAAACTTGTAGCAATCCTCCTGCCTCAGCCTCCTAAATCCTGAGATTATAGGTCTGCATCTTTTTTTGGTCCAGTTTTCTCTCCCTTTCTTTCTTTCTTTCTTTCTTTCTTTCTTTCTTTCTTTCTTTCTTTCTTCATGTCTTTTTTGAGACAAGGTCTCACTATGTAGTGTAGGTTGGCCCTGAACTCCCTTATATAGCCCAGGCTAGCCTCAAACTCATGGTAATCCTCCTACCTCAGGCTCCCAAGTGTTGGGACTACAGGCGTGGGCCAGCACTCCCAGCTAATGATTTCTTAACTTACCTTCATCTTCTTAGAATTGTATACTACATTGTTGCTTAAGTGTTTATTTTCTTTAGTATTTTTTTGGCAATGATAAACTTTATCTGATTTTGTTTTATTTCTCTTGTGTTCCAACCTGAACATGGCTTCCAAGAGTGACTTTGAGCTGAGTGTAGTGTCATATGCCTGCAATTCTAGCACTCTGGAAGGCTGAGGCAGGAGAATTGCAAGTTTGAGCCCAAATCAGGCAACTTAGCGACTCAGTAAGATTCTGTCTTAAAATTTAAAAAAGGACCAGATATTTAGCCCAAAGCAAAGTATGCAAAATTAATAAATAAATAACCTCAAAGTTGTCTCATGCTGGTGTCTAAGATCTTAGCTGCTCGAGACCCTCCATCATATGCTTACTTTCTGTGATTTAGTAGAGTCAACAGCCCTTGAAGGAAGTTCTTTTCTTTCAGTAATGAAGGCTATTATTCCATTGTCTGCTTGAATTCAGAGTGGCCTTCGAGGAGGACCTCTGAGTGTGGAGCACCCCCCCGCCCCGGCTGTGGTGTTGTTCTAGTCCTCAGAACTCATGCAGGTGTGGCCTCTTCTCTGTCCTGTCCGGTCTTCCAAGGATCCTCGACAAGAGTGCTGTCAGTACTCCAGCCCTGGAGAATCTACACTGTCCTCTTTCCCTTTCTCCCCCTCTGGTGGAGATGTTTTATCTGTGTGTCTTGGGTTTTCTATTTGTTCTTTTATCCTCTTCAGGCACCTCCCCACCGCAGGACAGTCCCCTGCCCCGCGTGACCTTCCTGGGGCCCATTTCTTCTTCGTCCCTGGCGTCTCCATGGGTATGTCCTGACTACGTATTTGCCAGATCCCTGTCCTGTGAAGATGTCATTATGCTGGCTTTGATGGTGCTATACTGTCTGTGCTCCATGAGGTGGATGTGATGCTCCATATGGCTGTCCTTTTCTTGGACAAGGCGCCCTCCTCAGAATGCTCGTTGAAACTATGGGCTTGGGGTTTGTCCAGGGCTTGGGGTTTGTCCAGGGCTTAAGACTGGGCCACACACATGGAGCAGGACAAGATGAGGTCTTGGCACCTGGAGTCCACTGCCTACCTTGATGACCTCTATCTGTTGGCTGCTGCTTGGCACTGCCTTGTGTTGAGAGCTTAGCTTTAATGGAAGGCATTGGTTTGGAGGATGGGTGAGAGTCCCACAAGGTGTGTTTCTGTCACTTCCCACCACACTGGGCTCCCTGGGCAGAGCCTGTGCACAGAAGGGGCAGGAGGAGGGAGGAGGACTGTGGGGACCATGGGGTTGTGTCAAGGTGTCAGGAGGCGGACCGCAGGGTCTCAGCCTGTGCCTGTGTGGCCTCTGGTCACTGGGTAGGTTGCCAGTGCCATGCTTCAGAGGCAAGCGCTCTAGACACACCCTTGGTGCTGTCTGCTTATCTCTCAGGAAGTTGCTTCAGAGATGAGAAGAAGGGAGGGTTATTCCCCTTTGGTGGGAGTGAGGGTCTGGGGCAGGTGGGCAGGGCCCCAGCTCAGCATGGACACCAGAGCCCAGTATGCAAAGGGGACATGGACCCCATCCACCTAATTCAGGAGATCGAGGCCAGAGGAGCAATGGTTTGTATAAGTCTTCTTTATTGAGTAGTCAAGAGGGGACCAGCAGTCAGCAAGTAGCTGCTGGACATCTGCTGTTTACCTTGCTTTGCCTATGCCTGAGTCCTGGGCTACAGGTGGCCTGTTTCCTCCTGGAATGCTCTGGGAGGGTGGGACATGGGGACCCTCCTGGGCCCTGTCCCCACCTTCTACCCTCTGCCCTGAGTGCGTGTGGCTGCTGAGAATAGGACTCCTGCTCCTGCCCTGAGGCTTGATGTGCAATGTGGCAGTGGGGTTTTGTTTTGTTTTGTTTTTTGTGGTAGTGGGTGTTGAACCAAGGATCCTGTACTTGCTGTACAGGTTCTCTGGTGCTGAGCTACATCCCCAGTCCTTTCCCCCCTTTTTTATTTTGGGACAGGGTCTTGCTAAGTTGCTCAGACTTGCAAACCTTCTGTTTCAGCCTCCAGAATCCCTGGGATCCCAGGTGTGGGCCACCATGTCCAGCTCCATGGTTGCTTTTTGGTTTAAGGAGGGAATATTGTGTATATCACATTCTTAAGCTGACGTGTTTGTCAGGACCTGCTGGGTAAAGCGAGAGCCTAGAAATGTCCCCCACGAAGGGCCCCTATATCTGTGTTCCCAGCTTTGCCCAAGACCCCTGAGGGTACCACACCTATGTACCCAATGGTGCCCATGCTCTTCCAGGGCCCCACACCTGTATTTCCAGCTGTGCTCCCCCCACAGGGTCCTACCTGTGTCCCTTCTCCTGTCTCCAGCCACTGTTTGGATCATATTGATGGCACTGGACATAAGGGAGCTAGCAGGAGCCACCCAGGCCCACCGCTGCTGGCCTGAGGGCCCAGGGACTCTCCACATGTGGGCACTGCAGCAATGGTCACAGCTCTACCAGATGCCAATGGGCAGGGTGCCAGGTATGGAGAGACCCCTGGCTCCAGATGGCCACTGCAGAGGTCTGGAGGGCTGCTGGCGAGGATGCTGAGACAGGAAGGTACTGTGGGGCACACTCAGGGAGGAGGAGGAAGGGGAACAGGTAGAAGACTGTGTCCTCTAGGCCCCATGAGGTTGGGGAGACCAGGTCTCTGGGCCACCCCCTTTCCTGGCTGCCTGCTTGCCTGACACGTGGTTGTCATGGTAAAACTAGTGCTGTACATCTTACACGAGAGAAAATCCTTGTTAATATCATGCCTATTACTTCATATTTCATCACTGCAGATGTAAAACCACATATGTGTTTGTGAAAAAACAAGCACACCCTCCTGTATTCTATTTCATTAACACGGAACCATCTGCGTGCTCCATGGCCACACTGTGGGGCCGCCTTTTGCCCTGTGTGCACCCCAGATGAGGCGGCACATCCTTGCTCTGGCCTCCCGATGCCCGCTGTGTGCTCACCCTGGCACAGCAGCTCCTCCGTCTGGACGGTTCAGCCCTTTTTCCTGTTGAAGAGAATTTGGAAGACGCCCAGAAGCAGGGTTTCTAGGTAAAAGGTCCATGGCGCTCTGGAGCCTTTGCTACCAAACGAGCCCAGTGGAAGGCGAGCTCATTTCAGCCGAGCTCCTGCCCCTCTGGTGCCTGTGCTGGTCCAGAGGCACCCAGAGGGGAGGTTGGGGGCCCACGCAGTTCCACCATGTATCTGCCCAGTAGCTGTGCCTGTTTCCAACCCACAAACAGGGAAATGAGGGCTTCTTGTAGCTGAGTCCTCCTCCCCCAGGGGCCTCTGGGACTGAGGAGGGATCTAGGAAAGGCTGGAAAGGTGCACGTTGCTCTGTGGGGGTTCTTGGGGTACCCCACAGCCCTTCCCAGGCCCCTGTGGTTGGCCTTGTGGGGCAGGGACTGGGGATCAGGGACCTGCAGGGGCTTGAGGCCAGAGAAGGCCGTGTTGCTGGTGTGGAGGGGCTGTGCCTCGGATTTGCTCTTTACCTGGCCAGGTGAGTTGCTCCTCAGGAAGTCCCTGGGGTTGGCAAGGGTGTGCTTCTTCCCTCCTCCCTGACCCTCCCCTGGGGCTTTACGCAGGATACACCAGCTGCCAAAACCCTGGGAGGCGCTTGGGAGGCGCTTGGGGAGGCGCTTGGGGAGGGGTTTGGGGAGGGGCTTAGGGTTGGTGAATAAATATCAAACTTAGAATGGAAAGAAAATAAACCCTTTATTTCTCACAGTGCTGAATGGGGCTGGGCCTCCTCTTGCCCCCTTTGCCAAGACACTCTGAGCCTGGGGACCCGCCAGGTGTCTAAGTCCATGGACAGAAAAGCCCTGCTCAGCTATGGGAGGGGAAGGGTAGCCAAAGGACAGCTGAGCTTTGTGGCTGGTGGCAGTTTGACCATGTCACCAAGGTGTGGGCTGGGCTGGAAGGCTTCCTGGAGGAGGTGCCCTGTCCATTTGGGGGGTACCAGGTAGCACGGTCCCTGCCACAGCTGCCTGAGTGTGGGTGCTGGGTGTGCTGGGCTTGGTGGGGTGCAAGGAGACAGAGGGTCTGAGGGGCTCACTAGCACCGATTGGGGGGGACAGGGCATTGCGGCTGATGCAGGACATGTCCTCGTACACCACGTAGGTAGGGTTCTTATCCCTGGAGGCACACGATTTCCTGATCTAAAAGACAGCTTGAGTCACCCCTGAGGCAGCAGGCCTGGTGACCTGGGTCCCAGTGGTGGCTCTGAGCACCCCCTTCCTTCAAGACACATGCTTAGGGAGCTTTTTCATCTTAATGCAGCATTCAGAGGCGGAGCTGGCCATCGCTGTGGCTACATCAGCCCGTTGTCCCACCCCATCCACACAGCACACACTAACTCTCAAGCTTGTTTGTGCATTCACAGGTTTGGGGGACCCCACCACCACTGAACACAGGTGCACGCCACACTCACATGTGGCCTTTGTATCCCCTGCATGCTCACATGGACACTCATACGTGCACCTGCCATGTGTGGACTGTGCACGGTGTCTACTTGGTTGGCCACGGCTCTGGACCAGGGCATCTCCAACCCTGGCCTCATGGTCCACATCCCAGAGGGTACAGCCTCCACACCTGCCCCCAGACCCTGCAGGTGAGTGGGTGAGTGCTGCGGCCACAGCTGGCAACCTGAGCTTCAGCCTTTCCCTCCTCCTGCTCTGCTCTCCTCTCTTTGGGTAGGGGTGAATATGGCCACATGCCGTGGGTGCCCACTGACCTGTGTTCTCAGGGCGAACGACATTCCTAGGCCTAGCCCGAGGAAGAAGCAGCCCCCTGCAAGGGCCCATGGAAGGATGGGGAACATCAGCCTGTACTCCTGGTGTTTGTATGGTTCTTGTGTCTCTTGGCACAGTTCTTCTGAGAAGGGAAACAAAGACAGGCCCTAGGCAGGAGGGATGTCTCCCAGGTGGTGGGAGGACCACATTTGAACCTTTAGGGTTCAGGGCAGCAAAGGGCTGAGGAGAAGGAGGCAGAGAGAGAATGATCCGGAAGGCTTCTTGGAGGAGGCTGGCTTCGAGTGGGTACAGCTCTGTTAAGTGTAGCAGGGAGGGTCTCCGACGAAGCTGGTGGGAGCCTGGCCTGGGCAGCAGTGGGCAGAAGGGGTCTTGGGGTGGGCGCATTCCCTACCTGTGACCATGACCATGGTGCCAGGGCCTGAGAGTCCAGGGTACGTGACAGGAAAGCAGGTGTAGATGCCAGAGTCAGCCACCTGCAGGAGGCTCATGGTGATGGTCAGGTTGTTCTGGCTTCCCATGAAGCTGATGCGGCCCCAGAACTTCTGGTCCACAGTGGCATTCACCTTGTCTTCGTAGTAAATCACCTCCGTGCGTCTTGGCCAGGACAGATTCAGGAAGAGCCCTTTCAGGGGCCTGCTAGTGGAGCAGGTGATGTTCACAGAGTCCCCCACAGAGACAACAATGTGGAGGGGAGACTGCTGCACCTCTGCAGAAGGATGTGCCGCTGTCACCAGCAGGCCGGGCAGAGGGACAGAGGATGCCCTCTCTGCGGACAGTGGCAGAGACACCCCAGGACTGCCCTTGGCCAGCACAGCACCACAAATCAGACAACCACGGGGCCTCAGAGCTGCTCTGGCTGCCAGTACCTGGGTGGCTGTGCCCAAGTTCTGAGGGCCCTGAGGGAGGTTGTGGCAGGCTGCCTCTGCTTCCTTCCTAGCAGCTCAGACCACTCCCTGCCCCCATTCTATGCATCCCCTCTCCTGAGCATCCTCTCCTGCCAGAGGCCACTGTCCTACCTCCCCTTCGCTTCTTTCTGATGCTGGCTGCCTCAGTTGTCCCTCCATCCCCAGGTGCCCAGAGCCTGTGGCCCTGTCCAGTGAGCCCTTCCTTGCTTGTCCCCAGACCCCTGGAAACAGCTCCAGGCCCAGTAGCACCTAACTTCCTGTGCAGACACAAATCTTTCCATGGCTTCCAGGCTAATTCCAAAAAGGTCTCAGATATGAGGTAGGAAAGAGAAAAACACCCCACAGCGACCTGTCGCCGAGCCCTGGAATGGGCTGGGGGCTGCTCTGAACCATAAGAGGGGACTGGGGACATGCAGGAAGGTCTTGCTCACCCTTCCCACCCTCCCCAAGGGAAGCCAAGTGCTTACCTTGGGCCATCGGGGCCATGGGCAGGGCTCCAGCCAGCAAGAACAACAGGGTGAAGAGTATGAGCTGGGCCATGCTGCCAGACCGAGACTCAGCCCGAAGCTGGAAGCTGGGCCTCTCTCAGGCCTGAGAGATGCTCCTGTCTGCACCCCGCAGTGGCTCGTGGGGGATGGAGCAGGATACACCAGTGGCTTGACGGCGGTGGGTGGTTGTGGGGCCTCAGGGAGGGCTTCCTGGAGGAGGTGCCTGGAGGGAGGAGTTGCTGCGGGCGGTGGGAGGAGCCACTCAGTACAATTTCTCCACCTTCCCTGTGGCTGCTGCTGTGGGTCCCCACCCCAGTGGGTCCACAGTGCACATGAGGTGAGGAGAGAGCTAGGCCTTGGGACTGAGAAAAGAGGAGAGGAAAGACGCCCTCTCTGGGTGAGGCAGGCTGGAGCAGAGCCTAAGCTGGCAGGGGCACTGGTCCCTGTCTGCAGAGATCTGATTTTTTCCCAGACATCCACAGTGTCAAGTCACCTGGGCAGCCCAGGGCGCCAACCAGACTGAGCAGCCAGGCTGACCAGTGTCCTGGGATGAGACAGTCAGTCTCCCACGCTCAGTTCCTTTGTCCAGACCCCTGCCAGGCCTGACCTTGGGGCACCCAGCAGGTGCTGGTCTCTGTCCCGACCACCATCCTGCAGGGAAACTTCAAATGCTGGTGCCCAGAGCCACATGCCCCTGTACGTACTTGGCACACAGTCATATGGAGACCGATGGCCGGGGCCACTTCCTCCCTGAGGACCACACTGAGTGGCTGAGTCCTGATGGGTTTAGAGTCCTAGGACATGGGGAGCCTGCTGGGTGGGTGCAGGTAAAGGTTTGTGGGTCCTGGGGGCTGGTTCTGCCTGCTGAAGGGCATTCCTGTCTGGGGCAGAATCTTGCCAAAGCCCTGGAGGTGTCCTAAGAGGAGGTGGCCGAGGCCAGGCATTGTGGGTCTGAACCGATGCCCTCTCTAATTGTGCATGCATCACTTGGGGGTGTTTGGGGTCTTCACACACCAAGCCCTGGCCCCAGAGCAGAGCAAAGGGTGAGACTGGATGAAGGGCCCTGAGCCCTGGGGCTGGTGTGAGTGAGGACACAGGATCCCTGGGGAAGGGACTGGTGAAGTAGTTACCCCAGAAAGGCCAGGAGCCAAGCCCTGGGCAAGGCAGGTCTGGGTCCAGGAAGCAGAGTTCTCAAGAAGGGATCAGCAGGGGAGAGGGGTGCAATCAGTGCTGAATCTCTATCAGAGAAGTCCTTGGTCACTCAGGAGCAACAGGGGACAGGATGGCCACAGACCCCAGATCTGGGGTTTGCTTCAGGTCTCTCACTGGAAGGTCCCTGGGCATCAGGACTTTGTGTCTGCTCCCAAAATGAGGTATTAAAGCTGACCTTTCAGGGACTCGAGATGCAGGGAGCTCAGGGGCTGTGCCCAACGGCATCAGGTAGGAACTAGTGGGTAGGCCTGGCCTGACCAGGCTCAAACCCAGCAGTGCTGTGACCTGAACCTTCTTTTTGCCTCAGCAGCACAGGCCCATATGCCCTGGGCTCAGAGACACAGCTTCCTGGACTCTCAGGCTCTTGGGTCTGGAGCTCCGGAACCCATGCTGGGTCCCCAGTCTTGGCTTGGGGTGTGCAGAGTGGGTGAGGAATTCCAGGAGTCTCCTTGCTCGGGAGCCAGCATTTCAGCGCTTTCACACACAGGACAAGTTTCTTGTGGGTTGTTGGTTTTGCACTAAAACAACTGGATTTTCCAGCTTATGTAATGGTTCCCTAATTGGTTCATTAAATTTGTTTAAAGATTAGTCTTGTGTAGGGTTTTCAAAACAGGGACTGTAGCAAATCTAGAAAAAAATTGTTTCTCGCTCCTGTGCAGAAGAAAACACTCAAGATACAGTTGCAATAAAAAGGTGAATGGGGTAAACAGATGTGACCCCAAGAGGAACCTGGCAGGGTGGGGTGGGGCCACAGAAGAGTCCTAGGAAGCTGCTGTTCCTCCTCCCACCCTGGCCCCAGGCTCCCTGCAACAGGCCCGCTCTGCCCCCTGGTGGTGAGTGTGGAACAGCAAGCCTCTCAGACCTCTTTCCCTGGCTCCCTGGCAGGAGGTTTGTTACTGCCTTGTTACTGCTCTCACAGGGTGACTGTGGGCCTGAGGGCACCTGCAGCAAAGCAGACCCAGGGGTCGGACGGAGGCCCTGGACCTTTGGGCTGCGGCAGAGGGAAAGGTGCCTAGGGTTCCTGACAAGAGACAGAGGGTGAGGGGCATCCTGTGTGACTTGAAGTGTTTGCGGGTATGGAATGAGGGGAAGGAGCAGAAGAAGCAGCTGAAGAGCACGGGGCTGGGGGCTGGGGTCAGGGTCTGTCTCCTGTTCCTGTGTGAGTGACTGAGAGAAGCCCAGGAGGCTCCCAGGCTGCCAACCTTCTTCCCAGACAGCGCCTCTTCTTGTCCTGCATAGGATCTGCTTATCTCAGCCTGGGGCTGCAGGAGCTGAGGTCCATCAGGACAGCGAGTATCTCCAGCCACTCAGCATGGGTCCCCAGAGAGGAAACAGCCCTGGCCATAGGCCCCATGTGACTGTGTCCTCATATTGTCTGCTCACACTCCAGAGAACACACCTGCGTGTGTTGCTCTGGGCACTTGCCTTTGAAACGTCCCATTGGGATGGAGGCCAGGACAGAGACCAGTGTTGGGGACCATAGACTATAAACTGACAAAGAATCTGTCCAAAGCCCTCCTCACCCTGCCTTGTGGGCCAACCAGAATGAGAAAACTCCCGCTTTTTCTCTCCACCACAGTTCAGATCTCAATGGCCGTGATGCCGTGGTGCTCACAGGGCTGTCGCACCCCCACCTCTGCCAGCCTCTCCAATTCCTGCGCCCCCATCTGGGCCCAGGCTCCCACCCTCCCTGTGCACAAGGCAGAGAGGTGGCTTCCCCGCTGTGCTTCCGTTGCTCTCCTGCAGTCCCAGCTAAGCAGAAGTCCGTCCACACGCAGATCCCTCCTTTGCAAGTGGCCAAAGTTACTGTGCTTCAGTGGTTTTTGAGACGATAAATAAAGACTATAATCAGGCCCTTGGGGAGGTCAGGTCCACAAAATATCTTAAAAATTATCTAACACCCTGTCAAGATGTGAAAACCAAATATTATAAAACTTCAATGTTAGCCTAAACTATGTTAAGTCTTACAGGGAGAGGTCCCACACACTCTTTTAAAAGAAAAAAAGATCTGAGTAGGTGACAGAAGGTATAGAGATGACCAAACCTGAGGCTAAATGAAGGAAGAGGGCATGGAGTTGGCAGAAGTCAAGACAAAATAAAATACAAAAAAATTGACTATAGGTGAAAGGTTTTTATTCCAATTCTTATTGTAAGAGATTGCTGTTAAGCGACCTATGAAAGTTCTGACTAGTCTTATATAAATACAAGTTGTTATAAGCAGTTACCATACTTACAACTATTTTCTTTGAGCTCAACAATTTTTCTTCTTTTTGCCTTTTTTAGATTTTGAAATATTTGT